AACGAGCGTTGAATGCTCTGCAGCCTATTTTAAAATGTCATTTTAAATTCTACATCCTCAAATTGGCTCGCAATTTCTTATCTAATGGATTTAGTAATAGGGAATAACCACTAGAACAACTCAGACCCTTGACTTTAATCCCTTCCTCTTGGTAATTGATTTCCGGATCTATCATTACCGTCTTTTGGTCTCACAGATCACCCTCATTGGCTCTTTAACGTAAGAACAGTTTTCATAACTTTCTCCTAGAGCTCCTGTGCAGACTCAGTCCAATTTCTCTGGCTCATAGCTTTTTGTCACTTCTGTTCTCTGCTTTTCCATCATTCCCACTGATACCATGCGCTGTTACAGTACCCTCAATTCACGCCAGATGTATTTTGCTCTCCAAGCCTGACTCACATAATCTCTTCCCATTCTGAACACATCTGCCCACTCTCTCCTCTTGTGCTTCCACAGCACAGCATCACGAGCACTGTATTTTTAGGTGCCTCCGCTCAAGAGATGTATTCAAGTCCTCTGTCTCCTTTGTCTCTTCTAAGAATCAGTCCAGCTTTACCATCTCAGCAGTGGTTTTCCCCCAAAGCCTTACTTTTAAGGATAAGATTTGGTAGCTCACAAGCCTCAGCTGGAATCTGCTTCCTGCCCTGTGCAGGTAGGTATCCACACCAGCACCCAACTCATGCCATAAGCCTCAACAACAGGTTTAAAAGGATTTAAAAATTCACAGTTGCAGGGCCCTCCAAGTTAGGCTTTTGAGAGACATTTCCAATTAATCCATTTCCTGAACTGAAGTTTACTCACAGTTTCTCTAGAGCAACACTTTATTTGCCAAGAGGCAAACCCTTGCTACTGGGGAAAAGCACTGCTCTGCTCAGTAGGCACATTCTGCTATGTTTCATGTAACTTCCCCTTTTACAAATTCCAAGAGGGACATTTTTTGCCATAGTATCATCTGGATCTTTGCTACAGTGGCTTCTGCCCAGGTAAGCCTGATCCCAAGCTTAAAACTTTGCTCCTTTGTCTGTGTTAATGCAGACATCCAGCCTGTACCTTCAAGGAGACAAGTGTGCTCCAGAAACCCACTCAACAGCTTGAAACTTCAAAAAACTGCGTTTAAACACGAGAAAAATCTCGGCACTCATTTAATTTTAATACTAGTCGCCTTTTGGCAAAATGCTTTTTCCTTCAAGTACTAAACCTCCTCTTCTTCCTTCATTAGATCTAATCTGCAGAACATAAGTGGCTAATGTCCCTTTCAAAAAGGAAATTAAGATGCATTTCTACAGAAATAATGTGATTACATGTGGCTGCCTTGCAAAAAAAAAATAAATATTTTACTACATAAAAACCATTTCAAATGTATACATTTTACTGGTTATGCTGACCTGTAGACAAATAGATAGCCATGAGAGAAGACTTCCTTTGAGGTTCAGTCTTCTCACCATCTCCTTTTTTTTTTTCTTTTAAGAACTTAGTACTTGCTCCCACGAATCCATGCGGTTCACCTCCATGCACCAATCCACTCACGTGAACCCGAGTGCTGGGCACCACGCTGGTTTCATTGCCACCCAGCAGGAATTTGTCACCAACCTGCTGCAGAAAAACTCCTCGCTTGAGGGGGGGGTGGGCCGCGACCGCTGTCCCCGACACCCCCACTGCTGCACCATCCTCCGGCGTGGGGACCAGAGGTTTGCAGGGGGACAGAGAAGCCAGGCAGGCAACAACCACCCCTAAACTGAGGCCAGAGGATTCAGGGTTCTGCTAAATTCCCCCGGCCAGGAAAGAGGTTTTGTGCTCGCTGCGGGAGGGCAAGATGGCAGCAGTGGGACGATGTCGCCGGCTGCGGGCACGGTCCACGCTTCGCCGTTTGTCTCTCTAATAAGAAATGCATTCGAAGGACACAGATGAGAAAATTAAAAATACGGGAGGGAAGCCATACCAGGGAAAGTGCGGTTGCTTGAAACACTGTCGCTACAGAAGTACACCCGATTATAAACACTTCCCCCCCCGTTTAAACATATTGCTACCGCATTACAAGGCAATAGCCAATATTCACACTGGTCAGGGTAATTGTATCTAGCACAGCATAGCCGCTACATTCTCCAGGCTACCTAGGTGTACTCCAAAACGTTTAATTACAAGGTATTTCTTGAAAATTAATCTGTATCACTGCAGTGATCCATTCCTTGCAGTCCCCGGGGGTCCGCCAGCTATCCCAGCCACCAGCAGAACTCATCGTCCAGACTGTCTGGGAGTTAGGTGTTCCAGGATGAAAAGTTCTCGCTCTCAGAGGCCAACTTGCGCTCTGGTGCAAAAGTTTGTTTTAACACTCACAGATATTTTATTAATTCACAAATCACAGAGTTCTTAGATGTGTTTTGTGCAAACTGTTCCAGCACAGTTTCAGTGGTTCTTGTACCGAGAAACATGTAGAGGCCAATTATGCATCAAGCACAGATGATTTATGATCATACTGAATGCAAACCATCTTACTGCATCACTGGATTTGCCAGTGTGCCTTCTGAGACCACCTATATACTCCCAACATTTTTCAGATCCCTTCAGAGCAACTCTACCGTACAACAGAAAAAAAAAAAAAAAGCTTGCTTTTTTTTTTTTTTGGCAAAGCAACTGCAGAACCCCTTTGACACCAATCTTAGCTTCTTGTTAAACATATAGATGAAAAACCTCCTCTTTTAGTGTAAGGCTCCTTTTCTCAATTCCCACATCTAACAAAACTGTAAACCACCTCAAGCCAGAAAGTTCCTTTTACTTCTCCAGTCCAGCCCTCCCCATCATCCATAGAGGACTGGAACTAGAATGTGTGTAACTAGAGATGGATTTTTTTCTTAATTACCTTTTTTTTCATGCTAATATTTTATCCTCAGCTGGCAGTTAGATAGTTGCCTGGATTACAGAGGAAGTACTTTCAAGAGACAAATAAAATCATTATTTGTTTTCTCAGCATTTAAGGAAACATCTTGCTCTTGTAGGTAACCTGCAATGCCTTGGCGCTGACAAACGCATCTTGAGTACTCTTCACTCCAGAGACCTCCGACTGGAAACCAGTCCAGAAGAAGGAAGACCTTTCAAAAAGCCAGGTCAGTCCTCTGCCATGCAATTTGTGTAGTCTGGAAATACTCAGAACATGGCTGCACAATATACAGAAATAATAAGCTAACCATTTCCCTCCCACTGTATGTACAGTAGCAAAAGTTCTATTTTAACCTACCATCTGCCTTAATGACCTTAAATTTTTCTCCCTGTTGCAGAGACTGAGGATCTAGGAATCACATGCAATAAATTCCTTAGTTTGCTTTTCCTTCATTATGGACCAATTTGAGAAACACCGTAAGAGATTACTGCTTCTGCAGCAAGCAACAAAGATCCCTGCAGATGTTTCCATCTCATAGAGCATGGGAGCAGAGTTTCATAATGAAAAAGCACATATCTGGATTAACTTTTTTCATTAGAAAGAAGGGTGACACCATTGTAAGTTAGCATTTGGTTCTTCAGCAGTCTTGTGATCCCAAGATTTTGACCACTTTTGATAAAACCACCAGAATATTTACATCTGAGAAAGAGTATCCCCCAGGCTAGTAACATCTCAAATCTCACACAATACTGCTTTAAGGGTGCTACTAGAGAACATGGGAAAAAGCAGCACATCAACTTTTGCAGAGGAAGAGAGGGTACGGGGTAGACAAAGCGTGCTGGTGATTCTTCTTTCACAGCGTACTACTTGCAGAACTTCACGCTAACAGTTAGGTTAATTATTTACACTCCAAGAGCTTATTTTGAACTTGGCTCCTGCTCCATCCCGCAGCGCTCATGCGCCTGCTGCCATGGCCAGTGGGTCAGGAAGCTGGTCAGCAGGGCTGGCCAGTCTGTTTTACTGGGTTATGTCCCAGCCAAATTAGCAAATACGACTTCCCTCTTGATGGCAGCACAAATTCACATTGGTCTCTGCTCTCAGCCATCCTCTCCTCATGGAGTGATTTTGGCTGACTCTATTAACTAAGATGGTTATTCATTCTAGCAAGGAAATTCTTTTGCCAGTAAAGTTTAAATATTTGCCAGTATAGTTTAAATTGCGAATAAGATATAATGAGAAAGGATTTTCTTACAAGTGCTGTGTTAAGAGACTTTACTGCACAAGTGGCTTTGTCATAGATATGATTCCCCCTTCAGCCAAGCTGACACTGGACCAGGACTGTAGCTTCACACCTGTGGGCAGGAGTACCTCCTGACACCAGCATAACCCATCCTTCCTCCATCCCTTCCCAGCTATCTCTACACAAGCACCACACAGATGCATGGAAAACTGGATCAGTTAATGGATCTGAATCAAGGCTAACAGCATAAAAGGCACAATCCATACCTCAGTCTTTTAAAATGAGTCTTTAGGCATTCCTTAAAGTTTAACTATTAAACCCAAAATCTTAAATCATTCTATTTAGACATCATAGCCTGTATTTAAATTTACCTTCAACTTTACTTCTCCAATTTACACCACTGACTGATTGTTTAACAGGACCTGTGGCCTTTAGGAGGCCACATTTCCTCATATTTTCCTTCAACAGGCTTGAAATGTTCCATTTCATTAGAGTTTCAGAAAAGAGTCATGAACCATCAGTAGTCTATGATATACAAAACCCCACCCCTCAAAACTGCAGTTCTGCTTCACACCTTGAAACCAACCACTTGAAGTCCATTTTAAAATACTAAATTTCCACTGCTCAGCTGATGACTTACAAGTTATTCCCATTGCCTTCAAATGTAGGCTGAGAGGTGACAAAAGCAAGATAAAAGATAAGGATACCTGAAAGATGGTTCTCTTCTACTTTCAGCTACAACTCTTAAGTAAATATACAATGAAACATACCTGGCATTAAGCAGATCTTGATGTCTGTGGGATTTTTTTTTTTTTTTTTTAATGTGCAAATGGTTAATCTGCTCTGCATCTATTTGCCAATATAACAAGCATACAAAATGCTCACCGCTTGGGATCCTTGAAACTGAATCAAAGGCCAAGAACGAACGTGATTCTACGAAAGAAAGAAAATAAACAGAATGTCAGTGAAATGCCAAACCCCCGTGCTTCGGCAGAAGCTATTTTGCTGTACCCACAGCGAACTGCAGGGCTCCTTGTGCCTGTGCCATGGCGCAGACCCCACCAGGCAGCAGCGGCCAGGGCTTCTCACAGCACCCAGGCTTTCCATCGCCCTGCGCCGAGCAGACCCGGCGCTGGTGCTTTATCGTGCTCAGCAAGGACACCCAGGTGCCACGGGGCGTCCAAGAAAATGTTGAAAGCTGTACAACGGTATTTGCTGGCACGGAAAGGAAAAACAACCCCTCCTCTGACCAAAGCACCACTGGATGTGGTAGTGCAAAACAGTGCTTCCCCCCCTCCCAAACCCTGCCCTGCTGTCCCAGTTGCTTACAGATTAGGCTTGGCTTTGTTTCTGAAGAGACTATTCAGTTACACCATTTTTACATATACCTGAGCTCTCAGTATCAGCTGGAGTTGCATGACTAACACGCACAACCTGCTTACTCAAAAGGTCTTGATAATGATGGCTTTCCTCGTTAGGACAACGCTCAGGCCCCCGTTGCTCCCCACTGTCACAGATGACCTGCTCTTTGCCCAGACCCCCATGCAAGCACCAGTACTGCCAGCAGCACTTGCAGTGCTGGAAACCAAGCCTCCCACCACACCACCTTTCGTGCTACTCCCAGCAGCGCAGACAGCCCACCTGTCCTCAGGGAGGCAGGGAACAGCACGCCTCTCCTGCTCTTACACTCTTCAGCTAATTAACCTCAGCTAGCACATGTCTTAAAGATGAAAAGAGATTCAGTACAGTCAAACTGGCTCCAAAAAAACTTCTGAGCTCCCCCAAACAATCCTCACCTCTTCAGCTACATACCTGCCAAGAGAAATACGCAATATGGCCAAAAATAATAAAAGCCACCTGCACCTTGTCTCTATAATTTCACAGCACCAAGTGCAGCCTGTTCCTGACCTGCAAGAGTGGAAGTGTCCTGCACTGCTTCTGTGCTGACACTGCAGTCCATGAAGACTTGCAAATGTTAAGGGGAGAAAAAGAAAAAAAGAAAAAAAAAAAATAATCAAGGAGCCTGCTAGTTGGGAAACTACTTTTGTCTGTCACAAGCTGTCTTCTGGTCAGATCTGCTCCTTGACACAGCTCAAACAGCAACCCCACCAGTACCAGCAGGAGCCCACTGATAAGACTATCCCATTTTAGCAGCAATGCTGACTTTGCTCAGCTTTACTGAATCCTGAAATTACACTGCTGGACACAAAAAACATAGGGCAGCTATGCTGACAAGCTCAATTTGCCAGGCTTTGTCCACAGGGTGTTACAGGGAGTTTGCCAACCCACTGCAAACACTTATACTAAAGAACTTGCACCCAAGGATGAAATCCTCATGAATACAGGCTTTATTCCAACATAAGCAAATGCTAATGGACTTAAAATTTAGGTACCATTCAGGAGCATTCAGGACTTGGCATTGCTGGAAAGGCAAGTTAGATCCAACCCCTGTCCTCTCCTCCCTCCAGCCACAGGTTCCTCCTGCTTCCCTTGCACTTGTCTCACCCTTTTGCAATAAAATCCATCCCACTCATCCAGCAGAACACTCCCCAGGCTGAGCTGGGCAATGAGTTGATGCTGCTCACAGGTGAGCCTCACCGGTGCTCCACACTGCCTGTGAGCATCAGCCCACACTGCAGAAATAATACCACTGGAGAGCTGGAGTTCCCACACGAATTGGCAGTGAGGTCTTTAAAAATGACTACAGCTTGTTTTTCCACAATCAGAGGCTTAAGCCTTACAACCTTAAGCCCTGAAATGGTTTGCTGCAAATTTGTCTGCTCCACAAACCTTACGACTTAAAGCTAGGAAGTTTTAGAAGTCAGCCAAGTTTGAGATTACTAATATATGTGCTGGTTAAGCAGACAGGTAAAAGTAAACTAATTTAAAAAGTGTCATAGGTCACATATGCAAAGTCTGGCGCAGAGTTATGAATCCCAACCCTTATCCAAGGTTTTCCAGAAGGAAGCTTAATGCTCCACACAGAAAATAACATCTGAAGGCAATTCACAAAACACTGAGCCAAACAGGTGATGCAGTGACTGGGTAGGATCACGCAGCTACCATCACCTTCTTACAGCAGCTCACAGAATTTGACACAGGCTGGTTTTTGAGATGGAGAAACTGTGCAGGTGTAACCAGCCACCTCCCCCTGCTTCAGTGAGAGGAAATGTCATTAAAAAAAAAAAAAAAAAAAAAATCAATCTGAATTTAGCAGGGCATCAAGCAGAAAGGTCTCGCCTACCTGCTGGCAGGTGGTCTAGAGCAACAGGCTGCTGCAGCAGGGAGCAGGGCAGGGGACCCTGGCCCCCCAGACAAACCTTCTGTCACCCCCCACGTCCAACAAGCTGACTGCTCTGAACAACTACCACAAAGACCTTGGGCTGCAGCACAGATGCAGGAAGCGCTTCTCCAAATCCCCCTTCCCTGGGATCACCCAGTTTTCCTGCATTTCTTTTCTCACAGCAGAGAGCATGAAGTTTTAGAGAAGTGGCTCTCTGCAGGAGACCGGGACTCCCACCACATTCCCATGCCCGTTCCCCCCATACTTCCCTACCAACCACCCTCATTAGAAGTGTTAAGAGCGTGTATCCCTCATTAGCCCTGTTCTGCATCCATTTACACACTTTCTGTCCACAAATTAGCCTAGTGCCTGTGCAAACTCCCTGACGCTGCCTGGCCCCAGCCTCCTGTGACAGCAAGGTGCAGAACTCCACCATCCAACTGGTGAACAGAGACATTTGCTGGTTCTATCAGCTGCTGCCTCACTCCAGTATTGCAAGACACTGCGGTATCAGTTCTACCACCACATCACCACTGATTTCCCCAAGCTGCAGCCCTACATCCTTCACTCCCCAGTGTAGAGCCCGTCTCTGCAGTCCCTCCTTGCAAGGCAGATGCTACAGCTGGAGAGAGTAAGCAGAGGACAGCTCTCCTCCCTCACAAGCCAGGATTGCGTGGGGGGAGCTCAAAACATGGGTGCCCAAAAGCTTTACACAGCATGAACAGGACCCTCTCCACTACCCTTAACACCCTCTCAGGCAGTGCCTGGCTCTTTGGTAGCTTTTCTGGCTGATGCACGCTGAACAAATGATCTCTGAGGCCTAGAAACAGTGAAAACCCTATGATCCCACACCTGGGGCATAAACTCCAGAGTCCTACCTAGCTAATCCAAGGAAGTGATCCTGAAAGAACGGTTAGCACCTGAAAAAGCTGGAGCAAGGTGCACATCACCTCACTAAGGAGCAGGAATAATCTGGCATCAACCTAGCTGAAAAAACAAGCTACAGAGAGCTCCAGGCACACTTCAGTTAAGTAATTACTCTTTATTTGCATCTGAAGATGTTATTTAAGATAAGGATTAAGTTCCCCTACACAGGACTGGGTAAAAAAGAAAAAAAAAAAATAGCTAGAGGAGCAGTGGCAGACAGGTCTTAAATTGCTAATCTGGGGGACAGAAACTCAAGAGCTAGCAACTTTCTTCTCCAGGTCCACTATTTTGCTTAGTCTTTGGGCAGGGACTGAGTCTGCTTGTAAGACTCGAGATCCGCACACACGCTGCACACTGCAAATAACTCAGATATTTATAAAGCACCATCCTTGTGCATAAAGCTAATTATCTAGTGGGTTTTCAGGCACATTGACTCAGAGTGAGCAGAAGATGCCCTTCGTATCAGCACATTAGAGATTGTGATGTATAACAAAATTTTTCATATGCTTCAGTAATTTTCAAAGATCTGTGTATTATGTAGGAGGAAGCTAGAATAAGATACTGGTGCTCTCTGGCAATGCCATCCTAAGGATTTCCCCACTCCCCTGCTCCTCCTTTCAACAGCTTCTCTTCCCTGCCTCAGGGCTTACAGCCACCCACTGAGCCCAAAAAAAGTTACTTGTCAATTCAGAGCATGGCCCTGTATCAGCACAACTTCTGCTGATGAATTACAGAAGTCTCCTCACAAGAAGAAGAAAAAAGCATTTGGAAGGAAAGACTACCTGCACTGATGAAGTCCATTAAACTACTACAGACAGAGCATCACTGCCACGCAGGATCCCACACTGCAGCAAGTACACCCGTCACATCACACTTCCCCATGGCTGCAAGGACTGAGCAACCAAAGCTGCCAGCCAGGCTGCACTTAACGAAGTTCAGATCACAAACTGACCTCCAAATGTGTTACATATTGAAACAACCATGCTGTGGGGCGGCAGAGCCATTCTGATACGTGGATATGGAGACACAACAGCAATTTAGCCTCCTTTGGTGAATTAATTCTAATTAGTTTTGAAGTTAGATTGTTTTCTTTGTGTCTGTTTTCTTTTAATATACTATATCTTCACACGATCTGGGCAGCAGTAATCATTAAGCAGGAAAACCCCAAACATTGAGGAGACCTTAAAACACAGCTCGGTGACTTGATTACTATACAAACCCCAGACACAGCACTCATCGTTGCACCAAGAGCACTTCACAAATACCAGTGCATTTATCCTTCCATTCACCATAAGCAGGCACCACTACCATTTTAAAAGCAGTATCAGAAAAAGATGATTACAATCTGTGCTAGCAATCTGGTGTCAGGTGAGAAAAATCCAAGTCCTGATTTTCACTGAGGTTTGCTAGCACTTGATATTCTCGCCTGTAGCTTCCTGGTTCCCTTCACTATCCCCACGACCAGCACGCAGACATTGTGGTCTACACGAGGGACGCTGCCAAAGGGAGCACTCGACCGTCTGGTGCCAAAACCAGACGGTCAGCACTGGCACCGGGACGATGTAAGCAGAAGCAGCGTGCAGGTGCAGAGGGGAGTGGGCCTCCCTGGAGCATCTCATCAGCTCGCCCCATCTCCTGCAGCCACAGCACTGATGTTGCAGCCTGGGGGACAGACAGGAGCAGCCTTGGGAGAGGAAAAGCGTTAGAGGTGCTGTCTCAGGTGGGGCTGCCCTTGCTAGGGAAGCTGACAAATAAATCTACTTAGCTGTACTAGAAAACAAAGTTGTATTCTTGCTGCGTGGCCATCAACGCCTCAACAGGCCACAGTGCCTGAAAGA